AGTTTTATATTAAAATTACTTATCTCATTACACCAAATTTTCATCTCATACATACGCATTTTATTATTCTTCTTCAAATTTCAAAAGTGAAAAAGATCAGGACAATCACTGGTTTTTCTTTATTTTCTTCCATTTTACAAAAACAAACTAGAAAAACTTGTACTTGAAAAGAGAGACAAAGACTATGTTTCATGAAATATATTGCAAGTGGGTACAAGTTCAGGGGGAAAATCACTAGTTAACCCATTAAAATAAAATAAAAATGGCTAAGAGCATGTCCACCCCAAAAGGAAAATACTCCCCCACGTTGTGATCCGGTTAAACCGCATCTGCCAATGATGGAGTTGTCCCTATACTCCATTGTGTCGGACTATGAGGATCGGGAGTATTTCAATTGTATGATGAGTGACTAGGTATTTCCATTGTATGTGTGAGATGTGAATTTTATAATAAACATGGACATGTGGCAACCGAAAATCTTATTCGAAAATTTAATTTGAAAATTTTATCTGAATTTTAGGTGAAAATTTTATAATAAATAGTGTCACATGGCAACCGAAAATATTTTCTGAAAAGCTTATCAAAATTAATGGTTTAAAGTATTAAAAAAAACATAGGAAATAAAGTACAATGAATAGTATTTGCGCTTGCCCTAGCCTTTTGGGGTGGAACTAAAAAAGGCAAGGCTGCCACTATTCACGTGAATAGTAGCAGCCATTGCCTTGCCTTAGCCTTAGCCTTTTGGGGTGGACATGCTCTTAGAGCAGCTCCATCGAGGAGCCCAAGCTCGAGGCTGGGGGGAGGTCACACGAAAAACCCATTTCTAGCTGGCCACTTTTGCTCGGGCTGGCTGTGGGACCCACAAAGACGAGTTGGCTCGAAGGCAAGTCTCGCCCGACCTGCAGCCTGAGGGGAGGATGACGTCAGCGCGTGGTTCAAATTTTTTTTACCGTTGCACGCGCCAACAGTAAAAAAAATTTGAACTCGCGTGCACTGACGTCATCCTTGCGCATTTCCAATGGCTAGAAGACACGTGTCTTCGCCTGGGAGCTCCGATCTGCTTCTCCCCCTCCAATCCAACTGCTAGTCTTTTTTTGGCTTTAAAATTATGAAAAAAATTTGATTTTTTTTAAAAAAAATACCAAAAAATTCTGAAGTTTTGTTCTATAAATACCTATCAATACTCTTCACTTTCAACACCAATCCTCATAGATTTTCTTCTACTTCTACTATTATTCACTCTTACTCAACATTTTATTCTCTTCCAAATTGTATTTTTATTTCTTATCTTTATGGCTTCTTCTATCGAAACCGGAGGGGCGTGGAGCACCATGGAATATGTTTTCTTGTCTGAGTCTTGGCTCCAAATTAGTCATTGTCCTGTGTCAGGCAATGAGATGAAATTTTGTCATATGTGGAAAAAAAATTCATGCCGAATTTTATAAAAGAATTCCGGGGTCGACTCGTACGGAAATGACATTGTCTAATAGGTGGAAAATTCTCAATAAATAGTTGGCAAAATTGAGAGATGTCTTGGCAAAAGCGAGGGACAACCATAGAAGCGGGGAAAATCTTAGTAGCGAGGTAAATATTTTGTAATTTTCATTTTATTAAGTTTAATGTCATAACATATATTTTTTAAATGTTTCTTGCATTTTCAATAATTTGTTAATATTTCTTGCATAAATAATATTTTGTTAATATTTATTGCATTTCCAATATATTTGTAAGGTTAATTGCATTTTCATTATTTTTTTTTATGTTACTTGCATTTCCAATATATTTTAAATATTTCTTGCATTTTCATTTTTTTTTTGTTCATAGATTATGCAAGCACAGATGTGGTTTGGTGCAATTGGGTAAGGCAAAAAAACTTTCAACCATCATGAATGTTGGGAGGTGGTGAAAAATTGCAAACGCTTCAGAATTATCCCCACGGGTCCCCCCGTTATGTTAAACGAGACGCCACTCCATGATTCAACGACATCGGATTCACCTCTCGATTCTCCTATGAGTCAAGACTCACCCATCGAAAAGGAGCCGAGGCCTATTGGGCGAAAGGCTGCGAAGGCAAAGAAAAGGAGTAATTCTAGCACTAATACATCAAAAAATTTGGAGGAAATTACAAGGCAAAGCGCCAAAAGAATTGAAATTGAGAAGAAACACCAAGAGAATGAGATGGCAATTCGAGCAGAATATGTACAAGAAATGGAGTATTTGTGCAAACAACACATTGAGAAGACGGATTGGGAAACCATAGCCATGGATACAAGCCATATGTCTCCTGAAATAAAACAATTTTGGAAGCTTGAACAAAGGGATGTTATGAGAAGAAGACTTTTCCGTGACGATAGACCTAGCAACACGGATTGGTTAAATGATCAAAACCATTAAATTAGTTGGTATACCTTTTATTTATTTGTATTTTTCATGTTTTGTATTAAAGTTTTTGTAATTCATGTATTTTATTTTAGTAGTAGTAATTCTTAATGACTTGGATTGACTTTCTTTATTTAATAAACAAAGCATTCAATAAAATACCTTTTTATTCAACATATTCCATACATCAAACAAAACATAATTAAAAGGAAAAACCATAACCAAAGCATAATAAAAAATAAAAAATAACTACAACTAAAGCACAATAATAAAAACAAACCACAACCAAACCATAATAAATAAAAAAACAACACAACCAAACCATAACTAAATAAAACCTAACCAAAGCATCTATGCTCCATCATTCACTGTCATTGCCTTTCACTGCCCATAGATGCTCCATCAAGTCAACTTGACGCCTTTCATGAATATAAGAAGATTGCATCCTTGTATATTGATCTAGCATACATGTCATGAAACGACCATCCTTAACCAACGATTCCTGCTCCAATGATTCTCCACTTGGCCCCATGGGCCTTTCATAAATTCATGTCAAGGTCGTGTTCATGGGATTCGGTTCGTAGACCTCTGCAACATCGTAATCATACTCATCCTCCACAATCATATTATGGAGGATGATGCAAGTCATCATAATGCTTCTCAGCACCTCTTCATCAAACATACGTGCCGCACCTCGAATAATCAACCACCGAGCTTGGAGGATGCCAAAACACCTTTCGACATCTTTCCTGTATCCTTCTTGATAGGAAGCAAATAATCTTTGCTTCTAGGATCGGGGATTCGGAATGGATTTGACAAATGTGGTCCACCTCGGGTAGATGCCGTTTGTTAGATAATACCCCGTCTAGTAGACAGTATTGTTGATTTGATAGGTGATATTCGGGGCTTCACCTCTCAAAACATCGTTGAAAATCGAGGATTGACCCAACACTTTGAGGCCATTTTGAGATCCGGCAACTCTGAAGAAGGTATGCCAAACCCATGTATCGAAGCCAGCAACGGCTTCAAGGATGATACTTTTTTGGCCTTTTCTATTTCCGTAATCTCCTTGCCAGGCAATTAGGAAATTCTTTCATTGCCAGTGCATGCAGTCGATGCTACCAATCATTCCTGGAAATCCTCGAGCTTCGGCTTTTTGTAGAAGTCGTTAGAGGTCCCTAGGCGTAGGTCTGCGCAGGTAGTCCTTAGTGTACAGAGTTTCGACTACATCACAAAATATTACCAAGGGCTCCAACGTAGTGGACTTCCCCATCTGGGCAATCTCACCCACATGATCAGCAGATGAACCATACGCCAACATTCATATAATAGTTGTAAGCTTTTGCTTCGGAAGAAGTCCCAAAACCCCATCAGCGTCACACTTTTGAACAAAGTATGCATTATAATTGCAAATATCATGCATGACTTTCTTGAACAAATGGGGTTGCATTCTATACCGCCTTTGAAAATCAACATTAGAGTACAAAAGAGTTGAGATAAAATAATCTTCCAAAAGATTCTTACCCCGAGAATGCATATGTCTATGGACATTAGGGCCATAACTGACTTGTGAACTACGATGGCGACCTTAGTTCTCTTCATCAAGCAAAACCACTGCTATGACAACTTGTTGATCTTCTTCTTTCTGCAACCTTTGCCTTTTAGCCCGTTTACGGCTTCTCTCATTTGTTTCTCGCTCTTGCCTCTCCAAGCATCTCCTCATGTCTTCCATTGAGAATGGAGTATGAATTCTAAATTATGAGAAATGAAAATATAGAAAAATGTGGTGTGAGAGGTATGAGTTGAGCCTCTAGTTTTATAGAAAATTTTGGCCATATAGAGATGACACATGGCTCGATTTTAGAGAATGAAAATCTTATGAAAATTGAATTTTGAAATTCATCCGAAATTTGAATTTTGAAACTCATTTGAAATTTGAATTTTGAAATGTATTTAAAATTTGAAATTTATTTGAAATTTGAATTTTGACATGTAACTAAAATTTGAACCCAAAAATCTTATCTGGAAATTTTATTCGATTATGAGATATGAATAGTCGTGACACATAGGAACCCAAAAATATTATCCAAATTATTTGTTGAGGTAAAAAATTTTGTGAAAATAAATAAATAATAATTGCCCTTTGCCATGACAACGGGTGGAAACACACACTGCTTTTTAATAGTGGCCCTAGCCCGAGCCCCCCCCCCCCCCCCCCCCCCCCCCCCCCTGGCAAAGGACGAATGGGTTCCTCAACAAATCTGATACTATTTAAAAATTAAAAAATACACAGAAAACATTTCTCGTCATAATTCGAAGGTGGACACAGATGAATGGGCAGAAAGCTTATAAGAACTAGAAATTAGAAACGCTGAAATTATTAAGTAATTATTTATGTACAAAAAGGAATGGCAAATCTTCAAACATTATCGAAGGTATGTAAATATAAATAAAAAAAATCTAAATCAAAGAATGTGTAATATGTACGAAGGAGCCAAGGCAGAGAAGCATCAGGTTTCAGTGCAAATGCTGCAACGGGGACAAGCGAAGGATAGAACACATCAAAACTGAAGCTTCCTCAACAGAAAAGTGAGACTCGTCGCAAATGCAGATTCCTGGCTTCAAAAATTCCACCATTTCTTCTTTTTCCTTAAGCTTGGTGGAGGAAGTTCTGAAGATGAAAACGAAACAATTGTTAATGCCAGTAATATCATTTCATTTGTCCTCTTGTTCCCAGTAGATGTATGTAAAAAGAAAAAGCTTCTTTTCATTTACCTCCTTCAGGATAAATTGAATTGTAGTGCACCTCAGCCCAAAAGCTCAAGCAAATAACTGCACAAGTGAAACTATAAGTAAAACATGTCCGAATACGGTGAAAATTTGGGAGCGGGGGGAAAAATGATGGAAGTACTGTTACCTCTGTTGGACTTTTGAACATGCGGAAGGATCTCAATGTAACATGTATCCCTGAAGGAAGTTATTACAAATACCTTGACACCATACTGCAGTACATTAATAGACATATCAGTGACAAATTGAAATGACTAAGTTTCTATATGAACTGACGACACCTTGTGAAAGCAATAGAATACTTGGCCCAACTTTTCATGAACAAGTGAGAAAAATGAAAAAAAAAAAAAAAAAAATAATATCATGCAACAAACAAACAAAAATATTGCCTAGTGTATGACCTACAGACACAAGATATGCAAATTTAAATGGGTCCCATAAAATCATTACCATCTTGTTGCACTTTTACATAGAATACTAAGAACTGGAACTTGTGTAACATCTCGTCATACAGGAAGAAATAAGCAGCAAAATTGAGAATGGAAATTCCCTCTAGAATAAACTTAGAAGAGCCCACCTCCCCAATCAGGAAAGTTACTCATGTAAAAGTTCAATCTATGCACCAATTTAGCAACTAGACAACAGATATGCTTTTAATAAAAAAACCTAGCAAAAAAATAGTGCCTCATACCGAATCTGCCGCAGCCTGCAATGTGACATGATCACCCCATTCACCACTCCTGGTTCAACCACATCAAGAAGAACAAGTAAATAAGCAAAAAATAGATGTAAGATAGGAAAACATGAATAAATTAAGAGATTAGCACAATACTTGCTCATCTTCTTTAGATAATCAGTATAAGCCATAGGAACATAAGCCTCGTACATTTCTGGGTGATTCCTGAGCTGAGAGATCAAAAGATGAGTACAAACAATAAGCATATTGGATATCATCTGCAACAGCATCACAAAAATAATTTAAATTCAACTCTTACTGAAATGCCAACCAACCTGTTGATTAACTTGTTCTCTTACAACACCATGGTACTCAGGAGAACGATAGAGTTGATCTGATAAAGCACGAAACTGGGGAAATAAGATGCTAGTGAGACACTATCAAGTTAACTGAGTAAAGGACTGTAAGTCATAACACACATAACATATAGTGAGATATGTTTCCACTCTAAATTACATGTAGAATACATAAATTCAAGCAGTGCAGTTACAATTTAGAAAGCAACATCAGCAAGGCTAGACGGGACAATTCACAAATCATAGGTATGCATCATTCTAAATCTCATCAGATTATTCACAGTGAATAAACCTTTTGATGTAGTCCAATAAAATTTTGCTCATTAAAGAGAAAGAAACTGATAGAACAATGCTATTCGTGTCACAACAATGGGGAAAAACATGTAGTTATGCAATAACTTTGAGAGTTTCAAGTACAAGAATTTAGAAGTAAAGTTCAAAATAAGACCAACCTGACAGTTACCATCTCCCTGGACCTTACACTCCACCAAATCATACAACTGCAGTCTATTAAAGAAAAAGGAAAACATCAGACATCCGAAGTGAAACATTTCTGAAACTTTCCCTATAGTTAAAATCAAACCAACAGGAAACAAAACACACTGAACATCCAATTTGAGAACAAAAGAAAATGACAATAAAAATGTAGTTGAAAGCAAAGTCACAACTGCTGGCGTGGCATACAAACACACTGAAGTTATGCGCTTGATGCCAATACAGCAGAAGAACGAAACCATGCACTACTGTCCAAACATTCCTTAACTACAAATTATTGTCTCCCCTAAATCTATGTATATGCTCCTCTACTCCGTCCCTCCAAGAATCACGTATCACAACTGCTATTTTGGTGTTCTAATTTAAACTGCTAATTTCAGTGTTTTAATTTTTAAAGCTTATTTCAAGTTACCTCTGATTGCGTGCCAAACACAATAATCTAATCGCCAGTATAGGCCTTCCAAAGTTATGACGAGCGCTTTTTAATAGTGTTTTTAAAGGGTAGAGATGATAGAAATCAATTTAGAAAAATCACCAGCAATATACAACTTCATAGTCAGCAGTGAATCCATCAATATAGAGGATCTAGATCAATATCATGCTATAGCTCAACATACCTCAATTAAATCCATTTTGATAGCTTAAGAAAATGACAAGTAAATCTATGAAATAAAATAATAGACAAAATAAAATTTGAAAATATATCCCTGGAGATGATTCATTACTCATACAAATTAAGTACATAACCCTCAGGGGAAATAACATAAATACCTTTCTAACAGCCTTTGATGATCTGATATCTCTTCATCAGCTGAGGGTATGTTCTCATTCGTTCTAGGAATATGCTGCAAAAAAAGAAAGGATGATAGTGAGACTCCCAGTTTAATGCAATAAAAGGGAAGACAATGAAAATTTTGTATTGGCAGGATGCAATACAAAACACAATCAGCGTGGCTGGACCAAATAACCAAAAGCACTGAAAAAGGATATTCCAATAGATGGCCAGAAGATGATAACACAAGTAAAAGTAATCTTCTATGGTAAAATGCCAGTAGGACGACTCCATAAAGCTAGACTTACAGGAACAGAAACCAACTGATTCAATCTTCTCCCCACTTCACCATCAAGCGTAGATTCATCTGTTATGTCCAATGAATGTAAGAAGTCTTCCCTATTGACAGAGCATTCTCCTTCACTATGATCGTTTGCTTCCTCGCTTCCATGTCTCCTAGGATCATCTGCCTCATTTTCTTTATCTCTATAATCATCAGTGTCTATCTTTATGTCAAAATCATTCACTGTATCCTGAACATTTTGAAGCCCTACAAATTTCCAGCATTTCATTACAATAAGGAGAACAAGTATGCAACCTCAAATCATAGAACTAAATGAGAATGTCTGTTTACAGAATCCCATACCAGAACCACTGTGTCTGTTTGAAGGACCAAGCCAATCCTGCCCTAGAATTGACGACTCCAAATTCCCATCTTCACAACCAGAAACTCCTGATGCTTCTGCAGAAGCAAGTCTCGATAACTCTTCTTGGTACGTCTGAGCTATAATCTCATCATTCTCCACAATGCAAGGCTCAATATAACCTTCTCTAACATACTCTACTTGACTAAAATCCTGGTCATAACGAGTAACAGTACTGTGCGAACTATCATTCGAAAGAGTACAAACATCATCCAAGAGATGAAGACCCCAGCGAACAACGTCAGGATCAAGCTTATACGATGTCATGAGCCTGTGTAACATTTAACAACACTCCAGCTTCTCCAGAAGCAACCTAGCAAGGCCAACATATTTCAATAACTAAAAGAAACGAGTAAAGGGTATAATCATATACATTGGAAACTAAATTTGCAATCATAACATCTAAAGTTCATAATTATATAATCAATTGCCTTAAAATCTATCTCAAATTTCAATCACTAACCCCATTATTAATTAAAAAATCTGAACTTTAAATCAACCCAACAGAGGAAAGTAAAAAGGGGACAAATACACTTTCACATAACGTTAAGAAAACTGAAATTTCACAACTCACAAAACCCTAAAGTCCAAACTTTTGAATCTTCTCAACTACTGAAATCAAATCCAGAAAAGGTTCAAACTTTGAATTTACAAACCCAGATACAGAAAACCAACATGAAAAACAATTAATTTAAACTAACAATGGTGATGTATACGAACCTTTAAATCAAAAGAATGGTCTTTGGGGACAAAACAATGTTGGAGACAAACTGAAAAGACGATGAGAAGGCACGCGCCACCTTGCCAATAAGGAAAAGAATAAAAGGGAGGAAGATAAGAAGTTTGTTGAAATTAGAAACCGCCGTTGGATTCAGCGTGCTTTCTTGAAAATCGAAAATCCCGTTGGTATTTATACATGGCTCGCTTTTGTACATACGGAAACCGGGCCATGATGATTTGGCACGCGGGCATTGGTAACCGGGGTTTGCCGGTTTGCCGGTGATTGTGCCACGTTTCGTGTTGCCGAGGAACGATTTGGGACAGAGATGGATGCGTGAGCTTCTTTGGTTCCATAAAAAAGAGTAAAAAAAAACAAACCTGAAAAAAATATAAATTGTAGCATGACTCCGATTGAAGTCTCAAATTATTAGACGAATTATTGTGATTTTTAATTGTGATGAATTTACTTAAATTATCAGCACCTGTAAATTATCAGAAATTATTAATTAAATAAGGATAATATAGTATATTTATACTTTTTCATATTAAAAAAATTTAAATTAAAAGAAAATTCAGATAATGAATCCTATTTTTTTGAAACACAACTACCCATTTTCTTTTTTAATTCTAAAATAAATTTAAAATTTAAAAAAAAAGTTTCTCGCAGGCGCATAAGCGTGTGCGAAGATGCTAGTATATATAAAGCAAAATGCAAAGAATGGTAAAACATTTAAAATATCAGAAAATGTCATTGGTTAATGCAAACATTAATAATTGAAATTATTAATTAAATGAGGATAATATGATAAATGCACATTTTTTCATATTGAAAAAATACAAATTTATAAATAAACCCAATCCTAGACATGTATTTATAAAAAAACCCAAGCACTATTTAAACATAGAAACACACCCAAAATCAACTCTAAAGTTAACTTTTTGGGTGTGTTTATAAATGGGTTTTGAGTGTGTGTAATGATGAGTTTTTGGTGTGTTTATATGTTTAAATAGTGCTTGGGTTTTTTTATAATTTCAACTCCCATTTTGAGTGTTTTAGTGAAACTCCCTTAAAAAAATTAAAATAAAAATCAGATAATGGATTCTATTTTTATGGAACACAACTACTCATTATCTTTTTTAATTCTAAAATGAATTTAAAATTTTTTTAAAAAGGCATCTCGCAGGCGCGGAAGCTCGTGCAGAGAGGCTAGTCAATGTAAGTACTAATTAAATTTTAAAAGCCAAATTATTAATATAAGAGGCAATAAATTTCTCATTATTGTAAGTGTGGCTCCTTCAATCAAATTATAAAATATTTGATCTTGAAGACGTAAGATATGTCAGTTGGCCAAGATTTATGTGTCCGCCTCCTTGCACTTGAGTTCGATTCCCATTTCCATACATTATAGAATAGTTTAGAATATTGCTTTGTCAAAGAAAAAGAAAAGTTGATGTTCTTCTTTTTCTTTATCATTGTATTGGCCATTTTAAATTAGTCCAATTGTCTTTAAAATTGATTTTTTTTTGGAAAACTCTCCAGTATACCCTTAAATTCAAAAGCTGGCAATATTTAATATTTTAAAAAATTATATAAAAGAAAACAGTGTAATTATCGACCAAAAAAAAAGAAGAATAATGTAATTTTCTTTAGAAGACCCTTATGTTTAAATTTTTAATAACTCAAAATTGCCGTCATTTGATAAAAAATTCTGAAAACGCAATTGCTTCATTTGAAAGTGCTTCTGAAACAAGTTATCCTCATAAGTGCTTTTATTGGAACTACTTTTAGTACAAGGATGTTGAAATTTTTATTACAAATTTACGTTCTGTCTAAATAAACATTTGAAAGTTCTTCCTTATGAAGCACCTAAAAAAGTGTTTTTGTAACTCATAAATTAATTTTAACTTTTCATGTCCAACTCTAGGAGAACTGTTCTTGATCAACAATGGCTGATACCTGAGCTTCCCCTCACCCACTCCACTCCTCCTCTTGGCTCTTTCAAATAAGCTATGGGACTTATTAAACAATATAATAAATTAAAGGGACCTTGTACAATTCCTATTCGGGAAATTGGGCAATTTTGAAAACTTGGTTTTTTATTTTATTTTTACGAAGCAATATTCTAAATTACTCTAGAGTTCTAAGAATATGACCTGGCATAGCCCTCGAACCCCTTTGAATTATAGCAGTCAAGGAAGTTTGAGCAAGAATTGTATATAGTCTGGTTGACCAATACCTGTAATTAACCTAATTTGGGAATTTTGATATAAAATGTTATCTATAGGCATCAGTCAGTGAGGATTTTACACTTCTGTTTCCACAGTAAACACAGCAGATTGCCATTACATGATCCTATAAAAAAGAAAAAGGAAAAAAAGAAGCATCATTGTTAGATGAGCCATTGCATGATCAAACCAATTATGCCAATTCCCATTGTGCTCCCCAACATCTTTCAACATGTGTTCACAAGCTTTGGTCTCCATGTTTGCCAATTTAAGCAACCATTCTCTCCAATCAATGGATCCACAAACATCCTTTTTAAAACCTCTCTTTTGGACTCTCTGTAATATTCATCTTTGGAGTCCACACCCTTCAGAGGGAGTTCGGGGCTTCCCATATCCGTTGTCTCCATAATTTGGTTCAACATTTCCACGACTTCGCTCATTTTCGGGCGTGATCTAGGCTGTCGCACCAAGCACCGGCTGGCCACAGCTGCTAGTTTTTGGGCAGCCTTGAGGGAATAGTTCCCTTCAAGCCTTGGATCCAAAATCAATTGGAACTTCTTTGGATCTGAAGAGAGGTGTGGCCTCACCCATTCCAAGAGTTTTTGCTCATTCTTGGGTCGGTTTCTGTCCACAGGTCGTCTGCCTGTGATGAGTTCATAAAGGAAAACTCCATAGCTCCATACATCACTTTTAGATGTGAGATGTCCGGTTTGAATGTATTCAGGAGCTGCATACCCTATTGTTCCAACAACCTGTAGAAAGATGATCAATTGGAAAGTAACTTGAAAAGTTAGAAAGAAACCAGAGAGACCTTTAATTAATGTATAAGCTCATGACAAAGTCAAACTTTTGCAGGATATGTACAGTCTATTTGCAACTGTTACATAATTTGTGATTGCTGAATCAACTTTGCATGCATAATTGAGCTATCTGTTTCACCTTCTTGACATGCTTAATTAATATTTGAGAAAAGATTCTAAGGTATATATATAAACATACCGCAGTAGAGACGTGGCTCAATCCATCTGAAGGCCCAAGTCTAGCCAATCCGAAGTCAGATAACTTGGCATTCCATTGTTCATCCAAAAGTATGTTTGAAGACTTGAAATCCCTAAAGATAATCTGCGCCACAGATAATAATTTGAAAAAAAACAAAATAAGGGAATCAGTGGAAGCAGAATGGAAACTCGTCCAATGAAGAGTTATAGCCTGAAAAGATATACAGCTCCCTTGTGTCCCGGTCACAGTTTAGATAGTCCTATCTTTCAATCAGAGAGACTTTACAATATAGCCTTATTCTCCTGTTAATCTTGTTGCAAAATTGAAGAAAAAATTTAACATTCCTAGCCAAAATCTGTACTTAATTTTCACTTGAAAATCATATTGCATATAGCAAATAACAGACCAAATTGATCCCTACAAGGAAATTGTGGCTTTGCCATTAGATTTCTGTATGGAAATGAACTGGTGTTGACAAAAACTATACCACTTAATAAATACCAACCTCCTAGAGAAAATGTATATGTTCTATGTGAGACACCCCAATCTTTACTATAACTGCACCAAGGATTAGAAATTACCTGAAATTCCATCCCTTCATGGAGGTATGCTAAGCCACGAGCGGCATCCTGGGCGATTTTCATTCTTGTACCCCATGGAAGAGCTATCTGAAATCGGCTTGATAAGTGATCCTGCACACTCCTGTTGGGCATATATTCATATACAAGGAGCCGCTGGATCCCTCTTTCATCATCCTCAGCACAGTAGCCTAACAGTTTGACAAGATTTGCATGTTCAACAACCCCTAAAACATTCACTTCAGTCACCCACTCTTTATGGCCCTGTTAGACAAAAGACAGTAAAAAAAAATCAAACATCTAAAGAAATGCATTGCATAGTGCGAATTAGAACTGAAAAAAAAGAGGAAAAAGAAAATATGTGACAGCAATTCCTTTTGTTCTTTTTCAGAAAAATGATCCTACTGGCTGTTTACACTTCGCGTTATCTTGTTTGTAGATTTATAGGAAGCCATAAAAAGTTTTCTTCGGGTTGACTTACTAAAAGTAGCAGAACTAGGGATTTATAACATGACAAATGACAACTGGGACATGATTACCATTATAGTGATGAATTTTTCCAAGCTTGAGTTTTGACAATTTTCAAGAATGCGTAAATTTCCTTACATAAATAATCCTTGCTAATTTCTCCTCAACAACCATTAGTTTGCTATTTATCAGAACTTTCTTATTTTTAAGTCAACTAGTGCAATAGTTCCTGTCACAGTTACCAGATCAGAATTTTTTACTCTCACCGTTAAATTAGCGCCTGTAGACTATGCTAGGTTTGGACCTGGTATCAATACAGAAGAAGAAGACTTGCCTGAAATCCCCTTTTACTCAGTTGTTTAACAGCAACATCTATCTTTTTATGTGGATCTTCTGTGGTCCGGATGACACCCCTATACACACCACCAAACCCACCCTCTCCAAGCATGAGGGAGAGACTAAAATTCTTTGTTGCTGCTTTTAACTCTGAGCATGTGAATTCTCGGAGATTACTCTGTCGCTGCGACAATGCTGCAAATGACTTGGCAGAGGATGCTGTGCTAAATTCTGTGGCATTCTGAGAATTAGACTCGGAACCAGATTTTCTTGGGTCACGATCAAGTGAAAAGAAAGGGGAAGTGGAACGAGTAGAAGTAGACTTCGTAGTCTTTGCTTCATCATTCTTCTCTTTGTTGTAGAAATAAAAACACTTCATTGCCTGCAGAAAGCTGATGGCCTCACTGCATTAAACACACACAATTGTTGTCATATCTTAAGAATTTCACATATAAAAAAGAAGAAAACCCCCGGGTGTTTATGAAAATTCAAATGGACTAAACCCAAAATTTGCTCTTCATACATTCAATTAGAAAACAGTCATATCTTAAACTTAAATTAAATGTTTCAATAATTTCACCATAAAGGTAGAAAAGGCTTTGAAAACTTTGACCGGTTGCTCTCAAAACTCTCTCTTTTTCCTATATATCCAAAATATTTCCCCAGAAATTTTATATATTTACAATACCTAATCAAACAGTCTAATTATGAAATTAATACCTAACACAGCCTAAAATTTCATCTCATATACCAGAAACTTCGTCAGACCTTATCTTTAAGCATTCATGTACTGACTCTGGTCAAATTTGCACAAATCCTTTATTTGAGACAAAACATTAAGGCAAAAGAAGAAAAAAGTCAAACCAAGATAAAAATCTAAGAATCAAATTCTTGGGGAAACTATCATCAAGACCCAGAATCTCATATAATTTCCAGTCAAATGAATTCTCATAGACAGTAAAATTCATTGGCATGCATAAGATAAAAAAAAAGGTCAATTCACTTGCCAAAACAGAATTCAAGTACACAAAGAGAACTCACCTCTCACATATGTTGTTCAAGCCCTACAGATATCATTGCAGGAATAATTTGCCACCCTATGCAGTTAGTCTTGGTCCTTCTAAAGAGAGACCTGGGATCCTGCAAAAAGGCTTAAGAGCATCCAAGGGAACAACGAGCACTCCATGATCTAAGGCAAGTCAATACAAGGCAGCTGGGGTCTAGCTCACCAACTAAGCACCCCAATGGAAAAAATAAAACAAAAAACAAAAACAAAAAATATTGAGAGAGAGAGAGAGAGAGAGAGAGAGAGCAAAAGACAGACAAATATTGGTAAAGGGAGAGAGCAAAAGATACCCAAATATTAAAAAAAGAGAGATTGTATTGTATTTGTAGGGGAAGAAAGTTATGTATGAAAGCGAATACCGAGTGAGAAGATTGAGAGATGGATGGATAGCTTTGTTTTAAAGAAAAGGTGTGAACTTTAAAGTGGGTTGCTCAAAGAACGAGTCATCATGCTGGCAAAGCAGCAAAAGAAGAAGAACCAGTCATCATCTGCACAGTTTATAATAATATGTGTTGTATATTTAAATGCTTGTTTTTACAAACAGAGGTTGTTGCAAGTTGGAGACCACACACCCCAAAATTGCTTGATTCTGTGGGGTAGCTTAGCCCATCAAACATCCCAAGGTTCAGAAGTTAGAATAAATCTACTTCTAGAAGCTGCATGACCATGCCCAAATGCTGCCAATTATTTAATTCCAGCCACATATAATATATGGATTTATCATGCTTTCAATTTTCTTAACAGTAACAAATCATTTGACCCAAAAACAGAAAATAGTGACAAATCAGAAAGTTGGAAGCATCTGTAATGCAAATCAACATGTTTAAGCTGCTCATTTTGTATCTTAAAACTGAATCAGAACCAAATTAATTAATTTTTTTTATGTCTAAAAGCAGAACCAATATCTTGAAATGTGTAAACTTGGCTTAGGTTTTGGTTGAAAATCATAGCAAATTAACAATAAGGCACATTCATCAAGCCTATGTTTCTGTCAATTATTTGAATAATAAACTAGTTTTTGTTTTTTTGTCATTCGTTAGGGATGATGAGAGGAGAGTATATATTGAATTGCTTTAAAATTGTCTCCTACATGAATCGAATCCAGATGAATTTGAGGAGGAAGGTAAGGTTTGGCCTAGTTTAAGGCTGTACTTCTGTGTCATTAAGTGGGCCGCTCTGATACACTAGAGGATCCTTCTGACAATTACATGTAAAATTTAGTTTCATTGCAATTTTCTATAACCTAATCCAGATTAATGAATATTCTACTTCCATCTCTTTGCATAAGCAAATATATAATCTGCACGTTCGTGCGAATGTTATTAATGTATAATTTGATTCCCAGCCAATACGAGAGGAACAAACTGACTTATCAGTTACCACTAAACATAAATATAAATAAAATTCAGTGATAGTTATGAACTATTTTTTTTAGTACAAGCGATCGTTTAAACTACAGAAGAGATGAGTTTCTCACACACACACACAACTAAGATGCCACTAAAGTTCGAACCTAGTACTTCCGATTCTATCTTTGATAGTGATGAACTATTTTTAATTTATACTTAAAAATTCTATAAATAAATAAAAAACAATTATAATTATGGACTGGGCTTGAGTACCTTTTTCTTGACTCTTGATCAAAGGCCTAATGTACAGGCCAACAAAGGTAAGCTAGGCTCATCGCAACTAACACAGGCCTGTGCCAGAAGGAAAACCCATAGTTCACATTTCTTCTTAGAAAATATATTCTTAACAGGTAATAATTTTATTTTTATTGATTTCCTGTTCTAATATTTTTTTTGGGTCATAAATTATATCAAGAGGGCAAAAGAAACAACCGTGATTGGCTCTCTTTTTCTTGTATAATTCTATTATTTGTACCACAAGTAAGGATGATGACACACATGTAAAAGTAGGATCCATTTTTATGAAAGATGCATGAATCATGCAACATGGCCTTATAAAATTACCCTAAAAAAATTATTTTAATTAAGGAATTTAAGCTTATTGGTGTATTATTCTATGTGTATTAGCTGTAAACCCCATGTTTTGGGAACTCCATTAGTAATTCAGAAGTTCTAAATTAGATGAGCAAATCAGGAAAAGAAAATTTTAAGTTATATAAAAGTAATATTTAATAACTTAATGCAATTAATTATTGTAAATTATTTTTATTAGTGAAACACGCTTTTGCCTCCCAAATGGCGCATAGATTTAACAAAACCCTCAAACCTCTGTCCTGCGGAATTGTTTCAGACAGAGACAATAAGACAAGACATGTCTGAAAGCCGGCTCGAACCAAACTAGTTCGGACGTGCTTTTGTTTACTTCTTTCTCAGGCCCCACCCGCTGCATCTTCTTCTTCCTTCTCTCACCCACGTTCTTTGCTTCTCTCAAGCTCTCTTCCATTTGACTTCCGAACTCAACCCCAAAGCACATGGCCTCTGTTTCTCTCTTTCTCTCTATCACCCATTAACCAGAAACCCACTTCAGTTTGTTTCCAAGCCCACATTCAGATCTCACACCAAGTTCCATTTTTTATTTTGGGTCAATGTATTAAGCAGAGAAAAAGGGTTTAAACCCAGAATTCTTTTTTTTTTCTTTCACTTTTTTCCACTAAATTTCAAAAACCCATTTGAAATTTGGTATTTCTTTTTCATAATGAGCTCCAAGAGCCTCAAAGGCACCAACTTTTGCACATTTGCTTCACTTGGCATCTTAGCTTTGAGCTTGGTGCATTGGGGGCAATTGGTTCAGTGCCAAGATGTTGGTGACAATGATCAAATTGACAACCCTGCTGTTCTTCCTTTCATCACACAGATTCTTTATGGCCGCATATCCAATGTCACAGCAGTTCTCAGTCGACAGATTAGCAATCGTTCCAGCTTCTGCGTAAAGGACCCGTAAGCTTTATTCACTTTACTCTCTCTGTTTTGTTGCTGAGAAAATGCATGAAAAAAAGAAAAGAAGAAGAGGGTGATTGAATTATAAGAATGGGTTGTGAGAAGTCAACTCAACTTAACCAATGGAAGCATAATGTTTGTTCTTTTACTTATTGTAATTGCTCAGTTAGACTATTCTTAGAGTTTGATATAAAATTTGTGTTTCAGGGAAGCTGATTGGAACCAGGCTTTTAATTTTTCATCCAATGTGGAATTCTTATCTTCTTGCATTCAAAAGACTAAAGGTATAAGTACTTGTAATTAGAAGGAAGAGTAAATCTTACTCTGTCTGGTTCTTAAGTAATGTAGGAAATGGACAAATTCAAAATATTTTTGTTTGTGTCTTGGCAATCAAATGTAGATGTTTTTTTTGCTTCATTATATCTAGCTTAGAGTGGCTGAAAGATTTAAGAGTGGCAGAAATGAATATTTAATTTATTTTGCCTGGTTGTTTTGATGGTTCAACAGGAGACGTTGCACGGCGCTTGTGTACAGCAGCAGAAATGAAGTTTTACTTCAACAATTTCTTTGAAAAATCCAAGAGTGCAAATTACTTAAAACCTAACAAGAACTGTAATTTAACCTCCTGGGTTTCTGGGTGTGAGCCAGGATGGGCTTGTAGTGTTGGCCCAAATCAGCAGATTGACCTAGAAAATTCACAGGACATCCCTGCCAGGACTCAGACCTGCCAGCCATGTTGTGAGGGTTTCGTCTGTCCCCATGGCATCACATGCATGATACGTAAGTAATTTAAATCCTTTAGTGTTTTCTTTCTTAATAATCTTCTGGGAAAGGACAAAGTATGGTGTTGATGATGTATTGTTTTACTTTAAGGCCTTTTAATCAATATCTCCCAGTAATTAAGTGGTACTTTGTTTCTATGTAATGTATTTTCCTTGATTATAGGATGCTTCTGATTATTTCTTTGCTTTCTTCCAATTTCTTGAAGCTTGCCCATCAGGTTCTTATTGTCCCATGGCAACTCTGAACAAAACAACTGGTGTGTGTGAACCGTAAGTTCAGATTCTAGCTTTAATGATCACTTTATTTATGCTGTTCAACACAGCCTATAATGTGTCAAAACTATATTTTGATGTGGTTTTGCAGATACATTTACCAACTACCTCCAGGGAAACCAAACCATACTTGTGGAGGAGCAAATATATGGGCTGATGTTGGTAGTAGTAGTGAAGTATTTTGTTCAGCTGGATCATATTGTCCAACCACCGTGAAAAGAATTCCTTGTAGTAGTGGGTATTAAGTTCATCCCTACATCACTTATCAAACTTGTTCAATTTTTAGTTAATTGTGTGCTCATCATATTCTTGAATTATATACGACGCACGCAATTTGTCCTTACTTCCTTCATATTATATGTTCTTCCTATTAAATATGTGTTCATCCAATTGCAGACACTACTGCAGAATGGGTTCTACATCTGAGAAACGTAAGTTTTATTTCGATCTATTTCTCAATTGCAGCATTTTTGTAAGCGATTGCGCCCCTTTTCCTTCTAACCTGGAATTTGGACTGTAGTTTATCCAGTACTTTCTGCATAAAGCAGCTGACCATTCATTGTTTTATGTTACAGGCTGCTTCGCATTGACTTCCTGCAATCCAAGCACTGCAAATCAAAATATGCATGCATATGGAATAATGCTTATTGTAAGTTGGCCACTTTATAGAAACAAAAAATCAACAGGGTTCAGTCTCACATGATTGATCTTTCATTTAAAGCACACTCTGCTCATCCTAATGAAAGTGCCTATCTGATATATTCCAAAACTCCTGTTTTTTGTCTTACTGACTTTCTATATTATACTCTTGGTTTTTGTCTTACTAACTTTCTATATTATACATATTTTAATTTTGTGAAACATACTTATGCTCTTCATTTCTTATGCAGGCAGCTCTGAGTACTCTGCTACTTATTATTTACAATTGTTCTGATCAAGTTCTCACCACTAGAGGGAGGAGACTGGCCAAATCCCGAGAAGCAGCAGCCAGAAGTGCAAGGGAAACAGCAAAAGCACAACAAAGATGGAAATCTGCAAAAGATGCTGCTAAGAAGCATGCAAGTGGATTGCAAGCTCATTTATCACGTACATTTTCTTGGAAAAAGGACACCCCAGATCCTGAGAAACTTAAGATTTTGAATCAGTCTAAACTTGACAT